CTCCATCTTTTCTTGTATAGAAGTGTCACTCCATTCATTGTTATAAAAAAGAAAATGGCGGATGATATGTTTGTAAGTTGATTGACATTAGTAAATGTATTACATTAAATTATCACACATGGCTAATATTTATAAATACATGTATAATCAACAGAGTTTGTGGGTTTATTCTAACCACCTGCGGGCAAAAATGTTGATTTAACTTTGGTATTTATACGTCATCAACAAAGAGTCAACACTGATACATGTACCGCGATGCAGTGGAGTAATGCAGTCTCTTCGTTGAACCACTGTGGCATGCTCACACTTGGCCACAGACTGAAAGTGGCATACTTTTTTCACACTGAAGTATCAAATCTGGCAAAATAATACATTGTATACAATAAGGCTTTTCGATTAAAATCACAGCAATTTGCAAATTTAGTTACCAGTCTGAGAGTATGTATTACGCTAGTGTATTACGCTAGTGTATTTCCATATGCTCAGTCAATAGATTACTAGTAGTTAAACTCCATCCTGACCTCAGTTACCATAACAGTACATAAATGTTTTGAGTATAAATGATTCTAAACAAATAGTGTTCTGACCAGAAATAACTGACACACTTCAATTTTTTTTTCCTACAGTTTCAGAGTTTGTTGCAGCATAAAGTTCCACAGCAAGAGGAATCTTTACCGCAGATCACGTATTGTGGATTTCAAGAAAACAATTTGGTAAGAACTGCTTCTTTTAAATAAATACTATACTGTACTAATAAGTAACAGGTACAACTACAAAAAGATAAATATATATTTCTCTTTTTCTTGAAGGTATTATACCTTAGAACAAAAATTGGGTCTTAGAAAAAATTTTCCAGTATATTTCTGCCATTCTCCCCTTATCACCTGATACCAATCTGCAATTTGTACCCTATTCAAAGACACTGAAAAATTATGATATATAAACCTGTTTGAGGTTAGCTTCTATTCAAATTTTACCATCATATGAGTGAGATTAAATAATATCTACCAGGCCTGTATCTGGAGGGGTTGGGGGGGACAAACTGCCCTTTTTGCTGGAAAAGTCCACGTTGGGTAAAAAATAATCAAGGCACATGAAGTATTCACGGTAAGACCCCTTTCTTTGATATCGATGGCTACTGGCCTATCTCTAACTGAGGCAGATTAAAAACTACATGTACAATACATATCATAATTTCAGGCCCATACCTAGCCAGCAATTTCCAAGGAGGATTTCTTATTCCAAAAAAGTGGACCTTTTAACATAAAATCATCACATACCTACATCAAATTTTACCCTAAGTGGACCTTTACCCTGCTAAAAGAGCAGTTTTTTTAAACCCCCTGAACCCCCCGGATCTGTAATTTTGGAGCAGGTTTTGAATTGGTCAGTAAAGAGAAAAGTTGACATTTTTAGAAATAAATTGAATTCTTGCTGTTTAATATGCTTATTGCATGCCATAAAATACCAGTATAATATCTTCTTGAGATTTAATTTTCATCATACACTTGTTTCATTTGGTTTCCCAGGCTGGTGTTGTGAGACTTAGTATGGAAGATAACACTACAGTAACAGTTCAACCGCAAGTTACGAAGGGAGACCAAACACCTGAAACATCAGAGGGACCAAGAAGAGAAGCAGATTCACTGCTACATTCAAATGACTGAGCTGTCTCTCTCTTTTGGCAGTGACGTTTTATCATGAACTTAATTGTGTATGTGTAGTGGAAAAGTTAGGTGATCTTTTTTCAAGTTTAACTTGAAAGGTCACTTAACAGAAATTTCACATGTTCTGTTCAGCTGGATTTACTGATTAGTACTTAAACAAACTGTTTTACTTGATAAAACAATTACAACAAAAGTTATTCTCATGACAACAAAGGAGCAAACGTCATGCCATGTGCATAAATGTTTAGCCGAATGGTAAAAGAATGTGCCAAAATGTGGCAAAACAGTTCAACCCAGCAGGTACTGTACATGTACAACAGTAAAACAGTCCAAAGCACTGTTATAACCAAGACAGACTGTACAGTATGGTGAAAAAACAATGGGGTCAGGGCTGTAGCTTATATATCTAAATACATGAACCTAGACTTGTGGTTAGATCAACCTAACACTGAAGAAATGCTCCTACTTGGGTTTCCTCGTAAAGAATTGGTGCTTGAAGATGGAACTGAGTTATTATTTAAGTGTTAATCTATTTATTAATTTATTTGTTTCCAGGTGTTTTAATTTGTTACTGTACATGAAGTATCTCTTTGTTACTTCACATATTAACATAATTAATAAAAAATAAAGCTCTGTAAGTTAGCTAGTGCCTTTAGTCTATGAGTTGATGCCCAAATCTTATCTGGCTGCACTTCCATTAAGCAAAGTTTTTATGGTTGATTTTTGTATAGCTGATGACAGCAATTAAAAAAAAAAAATTTTCATAAAAATATATTAAAATTTATTTCCAAAGAGAGCAACACTCTGCTAAAAATCAAGAACTTTTTTCCTAACTGAGTAGTTAACCTGAGCTAGGCTACTACCATCACAGTGGCTACAAAAAGGTTTTCATCACAAAGCCTCACACATATTACCTTAAAATTAATTTTAAAAAATCCTGTCTGGGGTAGCGCTAACACTCGCCAATTAAGCCTAATGCTAAAACTGGCATAAATTGGCTAAACAAAAAGGGTTTGGTTTGACTAATTTTAGTTAAATTAAAACCATTTAGATAACAAATTGACAAAAATGTGGTGATTTGGTTAAGCGAAAAAAATTCCTAGTGCTACCCCAGCCTGTCCTAAAAATTTTTTTTCACAAATCCAACTTCACTTTTCAATTGCCTCTGCATGTTTTTAAAGAATGTTTTGAAAGTTGAAAGTTGAAAGTTAGCCTATTACTGCCTGAATAATCATTATAGTGAAAAAATACAGCAAATGCTGCACTAAGCTTTGTATAAGTGGGGCTCTTTGTAGCTAGAGAATCTGTTCAAGTTTTGGATAAATTTCAGTTTGATAATGCTCAGAATTTAAAACTTCAATCCTGTTGGAAAAATTGTCTACAATTTTTCGTAAAAGATAAATGATAACCTGAGTAATAGTGCGTCAAGCTATGTAGAGCATACTGTATCACATTGCCACTAAAATGATTAAGTAAATTAATAAATAAATTAATTACGTAAATATAGAAAGAAAAACAGAAATAAATAAAGAACAGACAAACACACATGCAAAGTCATTTTGTTCTTTCAGCTTTGGAACAGTGCCCACCATTGGAAGCAATTACTGTCATACATACTAATTCAAAACTATTTAAGCTGACATTAATGTATTAAGTGCTTCAAGCAGTTGTAATCTTTATGTTTATTACAAATTAATTAAATCTCTTCCAACCTCATTAATGTCATCCTGACCCCACCCTCTTTACTCACTCTTTCACAGTCCAAAATCTCTAAATTTTCAGAAATTGCATTTACAAACAAGGCTTCATGCAAGTTAATTTGGCTGTAACAGGTAGGTTGTAAATATTCTTATCAAACCTTGAGAGACACATAATATACTTGATATACACATAGAAAACACAGGAAATAACTGTTTCAGTTATCTTCTCAGCCTCTATTTTCCTTTACTACATACACTACTTGTACTAAATGTCACTGATTCAGACATGAATTACAGCATTCAGACAAAGCTAGGAAAAGAAATATAAGGAACAACTGGCAAGTTAAACCTTTTCAAAGTGAACAATAAAAATATTTCATTGGCATACATTTTAGTAATATAGGAATTAATTCATTAATTCAATTATAATAAAAATATAACTGGACCAAACTCAGATTATTTATTAATTTGTAACTGTAACCAAAATATGGAGCAGCTATAAATGCAGAAGACTCTATGCAGTAGACTTCTTTCATATAAAGTATAAAAAAGTTACATGCACATGTAAAAAGCCCTCAAAAATAAGATTAATAATGTTTTTTTCCTAATGCCATAAGCATGATCATTTATATACATNAATTGAATTGCTCATAGTTAGAAAGAATGAGGGTCTACGTGTGTGTTTGGGGGGGGGGGGGGAAGAATTGTAACAGACACGTGTCCACGGACACGTGCCCAAGAGCTTTGAAAGAATTTTTTTCTCTCACCAACCTGTCCAGTAAGAACAATAATAAATTTTCCCTTCTACCTCGCTTTGCTCGAAACTTTTTAAATTAACTCATCCCTTTATCATAAATCAAGCAAACAAGCAAGCTATCTTGCAAAAGTCTAGAACTTATAATTTAAATTAATAGACCAAAATTATATCTTCTTCATCATTATATCTCTTTATTTGACTTAGATTTCCATTAATCATTTTAGTGTTTCTCTTGGAAATAATTTTGAACCCAAGTTTGGAAGTTATTGGTAGAAAACACATCTAAGATGTACCTTTTTAAGAAAAACTTACATATTCTGATGGCCACATGTAACAACATTTTAAAAACTGTTGATTATTTCCATTAACTTTCAAGACTGAGTCGATGCAAATCTTAAATTATTATTTCATAATATAAAGAATCAACAACTCCAAAGGAGCAACTAGTTATAGGACAACATCCACTTCTTACAATGAACTTTCCAGGTGTGCATTTGCTCATCTGGTAATTATTTGATAGCATAAAAAGAAAATTCATTAAAAGAATTCATTAGAAGAAAATTTCTATCAAAAGGATGAGATCTTGTTCTATAATTAATTATCATGATAATATATAGTATTGACAGTTCTTATTGTATTAGCATTGCACTGGACAATCAAAATGCCCAGGTTTATCAGAAATGGAGCAGATGTAAGTATTAGTGTCATTTGCTTGCACATGCTTTACTGCTTTTTTAAAGACCGACAATGTACATGTACATTGCACCTTTATATAACACAAAAGTTTATATTTTCCTTGAAAATTTACCTTTTTTCCTAAATTACTAAGGTTAATCCTATATAAACCCGTTGAAAAAAATGAAATAAAACGTTAACTGTTTTTCAAGTTATCATTTTTTTATTGTTACCTTTTTATGGTTTCAAATGAATTAGTTCAAAAATCTCCTTACATGTATGTACTACAAAAGAATGTGAAACTTTAGAGAGAATCAATGGGACACGTAATTTTTGAAGGATGCAAAGTTGTATTAAAAATCTAAAAGCAATTGTCTAGAAAGTCTTACCATTTCAGAATAAGTTTCCATATAGGGTTCAATCAATTTGTAGTCAAAAATTGAAACTATCACAATTAAACTGCCTTATTATACTGTCAACAATAGACATGTTTAATATTGCTCCAAAGCACCATCCTCACATTCTTAATAGTCTTCAGTGTTTTCTTTTTTTAATGTCTATTTCTTATGCCCATGATTGTATACATTGTTCATGGCTTTCTAACAGTGTCACTACAAACAACAATTCAGTTATGCAAAATAATAGATATATTTTCCCTAAAATATTCAAGTATTATTGTGCCTTTGGTTTGAAGTCAAGAAGGCTGTAGCTGACAAATATCCCCAAGTTTCTTGACTGATATTACATGTGTGGTTTGGGGATGGGGATTCCAGGCCCCCTTGCAGTGGTTTCCTTAATTACTTGACCCCAGACTGATGGCCTTCTTCCAAAATACTGGTCTGGTTTTGTGATTTTGCCCCATTGGATCTGCATTGCACTTGTTGAGCAGATTCTCTTGATCTAAACTGAAATGGAAAAATAGCAGATAGTATATATGGTGACTTGATAATTTTTTTTCAAAATCACTGCAGAGATATCAAGAGTTTTGATGCCCCCCTTCTTCTTCCATCCTGTGCATCTTTCTCCTCCCCCTTTTGTATACTTCATAAAATTTGCCCAACTTTTTTCTTGTATTTTTATTACTACTTTCAAATGTACTAGTACCTGCTTCTATGTCAATATCTGTGAATAACAACATTATTGAGATTTTCTGCTACACCCAAATAACATATTAATTATTGCAGTGATTTCTAATTTGGGTACTGTACCAATGATATATTACTGTATGTCACAGGCAGGATTGAAATCCAGGCAGATTTTTAGGTCACAGATATTTTAAATTGTTATAAATAGATTAAACACATCCCTATTAAAGCTATTTTTGTAATACAATATATGGTTTAGAGCATCTTTTATTAGCTGTCCTGCATTCAGGGGATTGGAAAACTTTTATTTTTCAATCTTGCCCAGGAAGATTTAAAATCTGCTGTGATGTCAAATTGTACTGCCTGTGACATATACACAACATATTAACAAAAGTAACCAACTTCTCACATTGAACAATGATAAAATCAACAAATCAAATACTAGAAGAGCACTCCGAGAGCACAGACCTCCGCCAAATTGTACTGCCTGCGACATATACACAACATATTAACAAAAGTAACCAATGTCTCACATTGAACAAAGATAAAATCAACAAATCAAATACTAGAAGAGCACTCCGAGAGCACAGACCTCCGCCAAATTGTACTGCCTGTGACATATACACAACATATTAACAAAACTAACCAATGTCTCACATTGAACAACGATAAAATCAACAAATCAAATACTAGAAAAGCATTCCGAGAGCGCAGACCTCCGCCAAGGCAGCAATTTTTGATTATTATTGGTTATTGATTGATAATTGATATGGATCACCACCAAAAACTAATCACTTTTAAGTTAACCCATTTCTGACCTACCCTGAAAATTTCATCAAAATCGGTCCATAACTTTCTGAGTTATGTTGTTGATTGATTTTTGATTATTGATTGATAATTGATCTGAATCACCATCAAAAACTAATCATCTCTTCCTTGGCCCACTTCTGACCTACCATGAAAATTTCATCAAAATCGGTCCATAACTTTTTGAATTATGTTGATGACAAACAAACAAACAAAAAAGACAGACAGACAAACAGGGGTGAAAACATGATCTCCTTGGCGGAGGTAAAAAGAAGAATTATATTCAAGTACAGTTTCTTTTAGCTCTACTGTGTAAAAAGAAAACCGAGAAACAAACCTAAATTCTCAAAGCATCTCTCTCCAAGCCTTTGCTTCACTTTTCACAAAGTAGTGAAAAACCATATTCCAACTTGAGTCTCCTCAACAATCATCTCCACCTTGACCTTCACTTGTAAATTTTGTCCTTTTCTTCAATACCTCCACTGCTTTCAAATATTGGCTTGGGTTTTTTCTGTAAATATAAGGAAACAAAAAACAATTAGTCACACAAATTGTTCAACATGACAATACTGTAACCCAGTATAAAAGTACTAAATAAGAATTTAAAGCATACATGTACCAGTAAGATGCAGGAAAAGTGAAAATCTCATAAACAACAAGCATAAATGTACCAATATTATTGTTTGACAGGTGTCAGGTCTATATGATTCACTTCAATACTCAAAGTTTTTATCTTCAAGACCTACATTTATGTTATTTCCATACTCCCACATATGTTGGCCACATCCATGACCTTCTTACACCATTAAGTAAACACAACCAAGAACACACTGTACACAAAAAAAAAGTGTCAATAAAATCCGTTTGCAGACTTGCTTTGAAAAATGTGCATAAACTTGTATTGTTGTATTAATATATAATGTAGCTCTCTACCATGCAGTGGTATTTCTGTGCCAATATAATATGTTTTTCAAATAACCCAGTTGTAGTGGCTTAGTGTAAGTAACACTACTCGGTAGATGTCGCGGGACATGTACAAGCTAGACCATGTGTTAAATGTCATTATACTTTTAGTTATACATACAAAAGTGACTGTTGTGCATAAATATCATTCATAAACAATAATCATATCATATTACATTAAATAACTATATGTTGAAAAAAGACCAAAATATCAAGGTGCCAATTGTGTCTTTTCTTTTGTAAAAAGATACCACTCCATCTTTTCTTGTATAGAAGTGTCACTCCATTCATTGTTATAAAAAAGAAAATGGCGGATGATATGTTTGTAAGTTGATTGACATTAGTAAATGTATTACATTAAATTATCACACATGGCTAATATTTATAAATACATGTATAATCAACAGAGTTTGTGGGTTTATTCTAACCACCTGCGGGCAAAAATGTTGATTTAACTTCGGTATTTATACGTCATCAACAAAGAGTCAACACTGATACATGTACCGCGATGCAGTGGAGTAATGCAGTCTCTTCGTTGAACCACTGTGGCATGCTCACACTTGGCCACAGACTGAAAGTGGCATACTTTTTTCACACTGAAGTATCAAATCTGGCAAAATAATACATTGTATACAATAAGGCTTTTCGATTAAAATCACAGCAAATTGCAAATTTAGTTACCAGTCTGAGAGTATGTATTAGGTTAGGTATTTCCATGTGCTCAGTCAATAAATCACTAGTAGTTAAACTCCATCCTGACCTCAGTTACCATAACATTACATAAATGTTTTGAGTATAAATGATTTTAAACAAATAGTGTTCTGACCAGAAATAACTGACACTCTTCAACTTTTTTTTACAGTTTGAGAGTTTGTTGCAGCATAAAGTTCCACAGCAAGAGGAATCTTTACTGCAGATCAAGTATTGTGGATTTCAAGAAAACAATTTGGTAAGAACTGCTACTTTAAAATAAATACTTTACTGTACTAATAAGTAACAGGTACAACGACAAAAAGATAAATATATTTTTCTCTTTTTCTTGAAGGTATTATACCTTAGAACAAAAATTGGGTCTTAGAAAAAAATTTCCAGTATATTTCTGCCATTCTCCCCTTATCACCTGATACCAATCTGCAATTTGTACCCTATTCAAAGACACTGAAAAATTATGATATATATTCCTGTTTGAGGTTAGCTTCTATTCAAATTTTACCATCATATGAGTGAGATTAAATAATATCTATATTTTCCTGTCTAACCAGGCCTGTATCTAGAGGGGTTGGGGGGGGGGGGGGACAAACTGCCCTTTTGCTGGAAAAAGTCCACGTTGGGTAAAAAATAATCAAGGCACATGAAGGATTCACGGTAAGACCCCTTTCTTTGATATCGCTGGCCACTGGCCTATCTCTAACTGAGGCAGATTAAAAACTACATGTACAATACATATCATAATTTCAGGCCCGTACCTAGCCAGCAATTTCCAAGGAGGATTTTTTATTCCAAAAAAGTGGACCTTTTACCATAAAATCATCAAATACCTACATCAAATTTTACCCTGAGTGGACCTTTACCCTGCTAAAAGGGCAGTTTTTTTAAAACCCCCTGAACCCCCTGGACCTGTAATTTTGGAGCAGGTTTTGAATTGGTCAGTAAAGAGAAAGGTTGACATTTTAAGAAATAAATTGAATTCTTGCTGTTTAATATGCATATTGCATGCCATAAAATACCAGTATAATATCTTCTTTAGATTTAATTTTCATCTTACACTTGTTTCATTTGGTTTCCCAGGCTGGTGTAGTGAGGTTATCTATGGAACACAACAAAACAGTCCTAGTGAAGCCAACAGTTCAACCGCAAGTTACGAAAGAAGATCAAACACCTGAAACATCACAGGGACCAAGACGAGAAGCAGATTCACTGCTTTACTCAAATGAATGAGTTGTCTCTCTCTATTTTGGCAGTGACATTTTCACCATGAACTTACATTATTTGCTGGCCTAGTAAGTGATCTTTGGCTGAAACCACAGGAGTCAAATATTCTCAAATACACGCAGTTCTGACTTCATTTGTGGCATATAGGATAATGTACCTATCTTCTACAATCATAAACTAGGATGAGAGACATTGCAATACTAAAGAAAAAATCTGTGGTACTCACTGTTGTTAGATGTCCTGGAAAAGATCACCATATATTTTTTCAAGCTGCACTTGACAGTTTTTTAACAGAATCTATACACATGAACCTAGACTTGTGGTTGGATTAACCTAACACTGAAGAAATGCTAATACTTGGGTTTCCTTGTAAAGAATTGGTGCTTGAAGATGGAACTGAGTTATTATTTAAGTGTAAATTTATTTATTTATTTGTTAACTAGTGTATTAATTTGTTACTTGATGTATCTCTTTGTTATTTTACATATTAAATTAATAAAATAAAACAGAATTAATAAAAAATAAAGCTCTGTAAGTAAGCTAGTGTCTTTAGTCTATGAGCTGATGCCCAAATCTTATCTGGCTGCACTTCCATTAAGCAAAGTTTTTATGGTTGATTTTTATATCGCTGATGACAGCAATTAAAAGAAAAATGACTTTCGTAAAGATATATTAAAATTTATATCCAAAGAGAACAATACTCTGCTAAAAATCAAGATTTTTTTTCTTAATTGAATAGTTAACCTGAGCTAGGCTACTACTGTATGTCACAGTGGCTACAAAATTAAAGGCTTTTTTCATGTAACCTCACACATATTACCTTCAAATTATTTTTTAAAAATCCTACATCACTTTTTAATTGCCTTTGCATGCTTTTTTAAAGATTGTTTTGGAAGTTGATAGTTAGCCTATAACTACCTGAATAATCATAATAGGGTCCATTGCACAGATATTTAGATCAATCTCCCTGGGGAGTCTCACTAAATTGCTATCAACTTGACCAGCTTAAATGTCTGTCACGCCTAGTAAAGCTGTTAGGGGTAATTATCTTTACCCCATAGCTGAATCGGTAAGTGTGACAGACATTTAAGCCGGTTAGTTTACAGCAATTTAGTGAGACTCCCTAAGGTTGGATCAATCCAGATGGATCCATCTAGGCATGGGAATCCAGTCTTAGTGAAAAAAAATACAGCAAATGCTGCACTAAGCTTTGTATAAGTGGGGTACTTTGTAGCTAGAGAATCTGTTCAAGTTTTGGATAAATTTCAGTTTAATAATGCTCAGAAGTTTAAGCTTCAATCCTGTTGGAAAAATTGTCTTCAATATTTGTAAAAGATAAATGATATCCTAATTATGTGTCAATCTATGCAGAGCGTACTGTATCACATTGCCACTAAAATAAATAAGCAAATTAACAAATAAATTAATTACGTAAATATGGAGAGAAAAACATAAATAAATAAAGACAACAGACAAACACACATGCAAAGTCATTTTGTTCTTTCAGCTTCAGAAGTGACCACCATTGGAAGCAATTACTGTCATACATATTAATTCAAAACTGTTTAAGGTGACATTTATGCATTAAGTGCTCTAAGGCAGTAGTAATCTTCACCTTCTCTACTTTTAGTACAAAATAATTAAATCTTTTCCAATCTCATTAATGTCATGCTGACCCCCCCCCCCCCCTTACTCACTCTTTCATAGTCCAAAATCTCTCAATGTTCAGAAATTGCATTTACAGACAAGGCTACATGCAAGTTTGGCTGACACCATGTATCAGGTAGATTGTAAATATTCTTATCAAACCTTGAGAGACACATAATATACTTAATATACACATAGAAAACACAGGAAATAACTGTTTCAGTTATCTTAGCTGTGACCCTTGTAGAGGTTACTGTTAATGAATGCTTTGATACTTGGTCCAAAGGAACTTCTCTCTCCTTCTCTTCAAGATCTTCCAAACAATTTATCTATACCCGTATACATATAAAATCTTTTTCAGTTAATGTCAGTGTGTGCCTTCTTCCCTCCTTACACCCCCCCCCCCCCACTCCACCTCTATTTAATTACCCCTTTACAGCTTGTAGTAGGCGGGACGGACATTTAAGGCGGATTATCTGACAGTAATCTATTGAGACTCCCCGCGAGGACAGATCGATCTAAAAGCTCTGGGAATACAGCCCAAGTTTGATAAATAACACATACAGTTGTAGTGCTTAAGTGTAACAGTAGATGTCGCGGGACATGTACTACAAGCAAGGCCATGTGCTTTCATTATAAATTTAGTTATACAAAAGTGACTGCTGTGCAAAAATATTATTCATAAACAATAATTATATCATATTACATTAAATAACTATATGTTGAAAAAGGACCAAAAAATCAAGGTGCCAATTGTGTCTTTTCTTTTGCAAAAAGATGCCACTCCATCTTTTCTTTTATACAGGTGTCACTCCATCTGTTGTTATAAAGAAGAAAATGGCGGATGACATGTTTGTAAGTTGATTGACATTAGTAAATGTATTACATTAAATTATCACACATGGCTAATATTTATAAATACATGTATAATCAACAGAGTTTGTGGGTTTATTCTAACCAACTGCGGGCAAAAATTTTGATTTAACTTCGGTACTTTTACGTCATCAACAAAGAGTCAACACTGATACATGTACCGCAATGCAGTGGAGTAACCACTGTAGCATGCTCACACTTGGCTACAGACTGAAAGTGGCATACTTTTTTCACACTGAAGTGTGTGATCAGTCAATAAATTACTAGTAGTTAAACTCCATCCTGACCTCAGTTACCATAACAGTACACAAATGTTTTGAGTATAAATTGATTTTAAACAAATAGTGATCTGACCAAAAATAACTGACACACTTCAACTTTTTTTTTTACAGTTTGAGAGTTTGTTGCAGCATAAAGTTCCACAGCAAGAGGAATCTTTACCGCAGATCAAGTATTGTGGATTTCAAGAAAACAATTTGGTAAGAACTGCTACTTTAAAATAAATACGATACTGTACTAATAAGGTAGATGGATCGATCTAGGCATGGGAATCAAGTCTTAGTGAAAAAAAATACAGCAAATGCTGCACTAAGCTTTGTATAAGTGGGGTACTTTGTAGCAAGAGAATCTGTTCAAGTTTTGGATAAAATTCAGTTTGATAATGCTCAGAAGTTAAAACTTCAATCCTGTTGGAAAAATTGCCTACAATTTTTGTAAAAGATAAATGATAACCTGAGTAATAATGTGTCAATCTATGTACAGCATACTGTACCACATTGCCACTAAATTAAATAAGTAAATTAATAAATAAATTAATTACGTAAATATAGAAAGAAAAACAGAAATAAATAGAGAACAGGCAGACACACATACAATGTCATTTTGTTCTTTCAGCCTCAGAACAGTGACCACCATTGGAAGCAATTACTTTAACTATCTTAACTTAATTCTACTAAATTAGTTTTGGTCATTTTAATCATTCGTCAAAATCTAACAATCAATAAACGATTCAAAAGTCAGTAACTGCAACTCAACAATCAGTCACCACAACTCAACAATCAGTTATTGCAAATCAACAATCAGTTACTGCAAATCACAAATCAGTCGAGGACTTAACACCAGATGACGCGCGCACCTTCAGCGATCTGAAACGTCCTTGACCTTTTCCATGTTTTCAATTCCGCATATTATGCAGTACACGAACAATATGTGGTACCTCTATATGAAACAAGACAACTTTTGTGTTTTTAATCTACAAATACTCAAAACAAAAATAAATAAATCAATTAAGTTTATAAATAGGCCGGGAACAAGAACTTATAATAAAGTATATTTTATATTAACTGTTATTGAAGATGATCATTAGCCCGCCTCACACAGAACGATTTTTCGTCGGCCGACACACTTACAACAAAATATCGGCCTGTCTGCGCTGCTCCACGTCAACTTTTCAACTAGTTGGGAGAGAATCAAACATGTTTGATTTTTAAACGTCGTACCCGAGTGTGTGCGCTTTCCTACGACAATTTGTTGCGCTGATCACTATCTTCAGCCAATGGTTGTGCCATCTGATATCACGTGACTCAGGTCAGAATTCAATTCAATTCAGTATGATGGAAGGCCCTATAATTTTCTATTAGTATTAGTTATTTTTTTAATTTTCGCGCATGCGCAGTTATTTGAAGCCTGTGCTATGGAAAAGGTCAAGGACGTACAGATCGCTGAAGGTGCGCGTGCGCCATCTGGTGTTAAGTCCGCGACAGATTGTTGAATTGCAGTAACTGATTGTTGAGTTGTGGTGACTGATTGTTGAGTTGCGGTAACTGACTTTTGGATCGTTTTTTGATTGTTAGATTTTGACGAATGATTAAAATGACCGAAACTAATTTAGTTGAATCAAGTTTAGATAGTTAAAGTAGGTTTTGACTGTTAAATAGTGCCGATAGATTGTTGAATTGACGTGTGCATTTTTTGCGTGAATGGCGTTCCATATATATGCTCAGTCACTAAATTGGTAGTAGTTAAACTCAATTACCATAAATTACAGTACATAAATGATTTGAGTATAAATGATTCTAAACAGACAGTGTTCTGACCAGAAATAAATGACACACATCAATTGTTTTTTACAGTTTGAAATTTTGCTGCAGCGAACAGTTCCTCCACAAGAGAAACCTTTACCACAAATAAAATATTGTGGTTTTGAAGACAATAATCTGGTAAGAACTGGTACTTTAAACTAAATACTAAACTGTACTGATAAGTAAAAGGTACAACTACAAAAAGATAAATATGGGTGTTATACCTTAGAAAAAAATGGGTGTTAAAAAAAATAATTTTCTAGGATATTTCTGCCATTTTTCCCTCAACACCTGATACCAATCTGCAATTTGTACCCTATTCAAAACCACTGAAATAGATTATATAGTATCTATATTTTGCTGTCTATCCAGGCCTATAACTAGAGGGTTGGGGGGGGGGGGGGGCAAGAAACTGTCCTTTTTACTGGGAAAAAGTCCATGTTGGGTAAAAAATGAAGATTTCACAGTAAGAGGTCTACTTTTTCACAAAAGACCTCTTTCTTTGATATTGATGGCTACTGGCCTATCTCTAACTGAGTCAGATTAAAAACTCTCATGTACATGGACAGTTCATATCATAATTTCAGGCCTGCACCTAGCCAGCAATTTCAAAGGAGGGTTTCTTTTTCCAAAAATGTGGACCTTTTACCATAAAATCTTCATGTACCTAGATCAAATTTTACCCTGAGTGAACCTTTTCCCTGCTAAAAGGGCAGTTATATCGAACCCCCCGGCCCGTAATTTTGGAGCAGGCTTTGAATTGGTCAGTAAGGTTGACATTTTAAGAAATAAATTGAATTATTACTGTTTAATATGCATATTGCCTGCCATAAAATACCAGTATAGTATCTTCTTGAGATTTAATTTTCATCATACACTTGTTTCATTTGGTTTACCAGGCTGGTGTTGTGAGACTTAGTATGGAAGATAACACTACAGTTACAGTTCAACCGCAAGTTACGAAGGGAGACCAAACACCTGAAACATCAGAGGGACCAAGAAGAGAAGCAGATTCACTGCTACATTCAAATGACTAAGTTGTCTCTCTCTTTTGACAGTGACACTTTCATCATGAACTTAAATTAATTACAATACAGGTATGTGCAGTGGGAAAGTTAGGTGATCTTTGACTGAAACCACAGGAGTCAGATATTCTCAAATACATGCAGTTTTGACTAAATTTGTGGCATATAGGATAATGTACCTGTCTTCTACAAGCATAAACTAGGATGAGAGACATTGCAATATTGAAGAAAAAACCTGTGATACTCACTGTTGTTAGATGTCCTGGAAAAGATCATATATTTTTTCAAGCTGCACTTGACAGTTCTTTTAACAGAAATTCCACATGTTCTGTTCAGCTGGATTTATTAATTAGTACAGTACTTATACAAACTGTTTTACCTGATAAAACAATAACAACAAAAGAACTCATGACGACAAAGGAGCAAAGTCATGCCATGGGCATCAATGTTTAGCCAAACAGTAAAAGAATTTGCCAAAATGTGGCAAACAGTTGAACCCAGCAGGTATTCTACAACAGCAAAACAGTTCAAAGTGCTCTTAAAACCATAGCAGACTGTACAATATGGTGAAAAAAGAATGGGATCCAGGCTGTAGCTTCTAAATCTAAATACATGAACCTAGACTTGTGGTTGGATCAACCTAACACTGAAGAAATGCTCCTACTTGGGTTTCCTCGTAAAGAATTGGTGCTTGAAGATGGAACTGAGTTATTATTTGAGTGTTAATCTATTTATTAATTTATTTGTTTCCAGGTGTTTTAATTTGTTACATGATGTATCTCTTTGTTACTTCACATATTAACATAATTAATAAAAAATAAAGCTCTGTAAGTCTCTGTAAGTTAGCTAGTGCCTTTAGTCTATGAGTTGATGCCCAAATCTTATCTGGCTGCACTTCCATTAAGCAAAGTTTTTATGGTTGATTTTTGTATAGCTGATGGCAGCAATTAAAAAAAAATTATTTTCATAAAAATATATTAAAATTTATTTCCAAAGAGAGCAACACTCTGCTAAAAATCAAGAACTTTTTTCCTAACTGAGTAGTTAACCTGAGCTAGGCTACTACCATCACAGTGGCTATAAAAAGGTTTTCATCACAAAGCCTCACACATATTACCTTAAAATTAATTTTAAAAAATCCTGTCTGGGGTAGCGCTAACACTCGCCAATTAAGCCTAATGCTAAAACTGGCTTAAATTGGCTAAACAAAAAGGGTTTGGTTTGCCTAATTTTAGTTAAATTAAAAACATTTAGATAACAAATTGACAAAAATGTGGTGATTTGGCTAAGCGAAAAAAATTCCTAGTGCTACCCCAGCCTGTCCTAAAAATTTTTTTTCACAAATCCAACTTCACTTTTCAATTGCCTCTGCATGTTTTTAAAGAATGTTTTGAAAGTTGAAAGTTAGCCTATTACTACCTGAATAATTATTATAGTGAAAAAATACAGCAAATGCTGCACTGAGCTTTGTATAAGTGGGGCTCTTTGTATCTAGAGAATCTGTTCAAGTTTTGGATAAATTTCAGTTTGATAATGCTCAGAATTTAAAACTTCAATCCTGTTGGAAAAATTGTCTACAATTTTCGTAAAAGATAAATGATAACCTGAGTAATAGTGCGTCAAGCTATGTAGAGCATACTGTATCACATTGCCACTAAAATAAATAAGTAAATTAATAAATAAATTAATTACGTAAATATAGAAAGAAAAACAGAAATAAATAAAGAACAGACAAACACACATGCAAAGTCATTTTGTTCTTTCAGCTTTGGAACAGTGCCCACCATTGGAAGCAATTACTGTCATACATACTAATTCAAAACTATTTAAGCTGACATTAATGTATTAAGTGCTTCAAGCAGTTGTAATCTTTATGTTTATTACAAATTAATTAAATCTCTTCCAACCTCATTAATGTCATCCTGACCCCACCCTCTTTACTCACTCTTTCACAGTCCAAAATCTCTAAATTTTCAGAAATTGCATTTACAAACAAGGCTTCATGCAAGTTAATTTGGCTGATACCATGTAAAAGGTAGGTTGTAAATATTCTTATCAAACCTTGAGAGACACATAATATACTTGATATACACATAGAAAACACAGGAAATAACTGTTTCAGTTATCTTCTCAGCCTCTATTTTCCTTTACTACATACACTACTTGTACTAAATGTCACTGATTCAGACATGAATTACAGCATTCAGACAAAGCTAGGAAAAGAAATATAAGGAACAACTGGCAAGTTAAACCTTTTCAAAGTGAACAATAAAAATATTTCATTGGCATACATTTTAGTAATATAGGAATTAATTCATTAATTCAATTATAATAAAAATATAACTGGACCAAACTCAGATTATTTATTAATTTGTAACTGTCACCAAAATATGGAGCAGCTATAAATGCAGAAGACTCTATGCAGTAGACTTCTTTCATATAAAGTATAAAAAAGTTACATGCACATGTAAAAAGCCCTCAAAAATAAGATTAATAATGTTTTTTTCCTAATGCCATAAGCATGATCATTTATATACATGTACATGTAGATGTGCACACACTTTGGGATTCCCCTTTGCCAAATTTAATCCTTACAAGGGGTTAGATTATAAATATACACGGAATACTTGAACAGCTAATATATAATTGTAATGCACTGAATATCAAAATTCAGAATAAACAAAAACTTAATTTTAATTCAATATTTTTCACTTAGAAATGACAGGTAAAATTGACCTCCGGTCCAGTGTTTATTTACTGCAGAACTCATACTCCGAGACAGTGTCAGTAATGTCTACAAAAGGTACGCTTTAACAAAAGACTTATCACAAAAGCTTTAAGCTGAACAAGGTGTCAGTAAAGAATTATCAAATGTAAATAATATCATTTTCTTTAATATGTGCAACTTAAAAATAACAAATAAAATGCATTTATGTACATCGAAGCATGGGTGAAGGTAATTTCTTGAGAAGCCATTTTGTTTATCGCTTGGTTGCATACCGGTAGATAAAAATTGTATCAGTACCCGTAAAATTTGACAAGCAAAAAGATGCACTCTGGCATCTTCTATGTCATTTTTTTTAAACTGTTTCCTAAATTTTTATGATTACTGCTTGCTGAATAAAAGGAACAATAAGAAAGTCAATCCCAAAGGCCAAGGTTAAACAACTATATATACTTTTCTACTCACATGTAACTTTTTGCTCACTCCTCTGTTTTTATTCTAGGTGATCATAAATAAATTCAGAGTTGACTTCTGAGACTCCTCTACATGGCAACAGGTAAAAACATTAATCCTGGTATGATTAACAATTTAAATGGCCTTGTCCGGCCTGGAAAATCCTGGTTGCTGGATCTTACATATACTTACAATTACAGATATGATATCATTATCAACAGTTGTTCTCGTCTCCTCAGAGACTATTTATGATTAAGATTTGCTTAAACTTCATCACCCCATTTGCATGATTTGTGAAAATGAAAATTTACCCCACATTCATATAAATGTTGTTGTAATTCCCACAGAATTCCCTTTCTGGCAAAATTTCAAAAAGTAACAAATGGTGGGTGTATTATCTCTCAATATTTGGTTTAAATATCTACCCTAGCTCATTTGGTTACTTAATAATTATTCAAAATAATGATTTTTCCAAACTTTTTTGGTGGGGTGTGTTATTATTGTATTTTTGGTTTATTTCATTTCAGGTCCTTTGAATAATCAGACACATCTTGATATAGGCACTGGTGCAGGGATTGCTCACAAAACCAAAGATAAGAATGTTGAGCAAAAGGCCTGTAACTCAACAAATGATTCCAGTAAGAGAACAGCACAGGCAGAAGGAAGAGACAGACTAGAGGATTCACTAAGTGGGAAACCTGCTACCTCAACCACAAACCAAACAGGTGTTTTGATGTTTGGTAATGCACCCCACCACCACATCAAATATGTCCGCCGACCTCCAATAGAGGAAATGAATGAGCTCAAACCACTGAAACCAACTTGGAATCCGGAACATAAATTTAACAATATTCAACCAAGAGATGATATGGATTTTTCAAATCTTTTGCCCTAGCTCTTGCTGAAACTATTTTATAGCATACCACATAACATATTTGTATATTTATTACACCAATATAGTTATATTCCAGTGGCATGGTTTTGAAAATAAACACTGAAGATCTACATGTACATGGTAATTAAATAAGGGCAATGATTCCTCAGCTACCAGTATAATTTTCAAGCATGGTTCATGTTAAGAATTTACTTAAAGTTACATGCAGCTTAGACAGAAAATAATTTTGCATTGCAGAGTCATGACCAGTCTTAGAAAAAATAAAATAACACTCTAAACAAATCCCAGCCCTCATTGCTATAATATTGACAGGTGGGTTTGGGTCAGTTATGGTACATGTAAGAACTCGCTAAACTATCTGAGCTTAATGAAATTCAAGTTAATTTATTAAAAACTAGTGTGAACTTTAAAAATTCATGAATCAACCACCCTGAACCGGGGTGGGGGGCAGATAGTCAATCTTTGAGAAGTTATTTGAAGAACTCATGATCACTACATGTGCATCATGACAACTAAAAATAATTTCCTCAAACATGAGACAAAATAACAAAATTAATAAAGGTGATGGTAAAAAAACTCAATTTGTTGTTTATCTATGAATAACTTTATCATAGTCATAAAAATGATTTCAATAATTAACAGCTCACACAATCTGATCTGATATGTATAAACTAGGCTTTAATTGTAGTAATAATAATAATAATTGTAGTAATAACTAAAAAGCACCTCTGCCAAGGCAACTTAGGGTGTATTCCCAGAGATTTAGATCGCTCCAGGGATTAAGATTTAGATCGCCCTAACTCCTTGGGGGTTCACGCTAAATTGCAGTCAGCCGAGCGCACACCATAGTTAATTACCCCCTTACAGCTTTCAGTAGGCGGGACAGATGCTTAAAGGGATAATAACTCTTTATTTTGGCCAAAAAATGAATTTTCCTGGAGTAACCAACAATTTTCCCATACTTACCAATGGTTAATGAATCCATTTTTGCATTCAAAGTTAGTCCCTGTTTTTTTTCTAAAAAGTTTAGTTTTTTGTATAGCCATCAATGGAGGTCACGTGGTCTAAAGACAAGCTTAGATATCAGAATAATAGCTATAACTGCCGTTTTTGTTGTAAAACAAAATATATTATATTTCTATGAGTTATTCACAATGTTTTTATTGTGAAATATAGATCTCATACAAAGAGTTATTATCCCTTTAAGACGGCTAAGCTGATAGTAATCTACTAGTGAGACCCCCGACAGGGATAGATCGATCTAAAATATATGGAAATGGGGTCTTAATATCACCACATTGACAATATCCAACAATATTTCTAACGAATTCAGGCCTAACAGACGCAGCACCAAAGGTTTCAGAATTCAACATAGATTGGACTACACTAATGTTTTTATTATGAAATATAGATCTCATAAGAAGTATACAACTCAATGTCAGGTTGCATGTTATAATCTTTTAATCTGATTACCTTCAGCATGAGTCCACACGGAGTTTTAAAAAAATGTGCATTAGCTTAATTGACAAAACTAATTCTGAATGGTCGTGTAAACATGAAATGATGATCATATATAAATTATCCATCCAGTAACCGTCTACTTAATGCAGTCCCCATCCCCTTATATTATATGAATTACAAAAGAAAATGTTGCATGCACAATCATGTTATAAGAGCTCAAAAATTGTATTTTGAATGTTTTTTTTTCCTAATCGTATTTTGACAGAATACACGTTATAGGCTTGATCATTTATATAGAAATCTCAGCACACAAAAATGTGCACTCATGTCTTACATCTTGGAATTCCCCTTTGCCTGAATTTCAATCCCTACTGGGGCTAGCTTATATAATCATAAATATCTAGAATATGTAGAATTTAAAAAAAATTAAAATATTTATTTAAAAATTTAGAATTAACATATAGTATTATTTAATTCTTATAGGATTTTTTGCACTTAAAAGTGCAGGTAAAATTGACCTCCAGTCCCCAATGTGCATTTACTGCAGACCTTACACTACTGCGTACGAGACCAAGTCAGTGCCATCTATTAAACAAGGTAGCTGGCAACAAAAGACTCACACAAAAGCCTTAAGCTGAGCAAGGTGTCAAAAAAAGTTATCAAATGTAAATAATACCTTCTATAATATTTGCCACGTAAAATTCAAATGAAATGAAATGCATTAATTTACGCACATAGATGCATGAATTTCAATATAATTTTTCAGCCATTTTGTCCATCAGGTAAGGGTAATGTAGGTGAAAATGTTAAAGTTACAGAAATACAGCTTGATGTCTTCTATGTCATACAGATATTTTTTTAAAACTACATCTTAACTACTAATAAGTAATTTACTTCTTGCTAGATTAAAGAGGAAAAGTTTGAAAACAAATTCCAAAGTCTGCTACCAATAAATGGCCACTCTTCTACATTTTAGAATCGACTGAAAATACTCGTATGGTGTAACCATCATTATCGTGTAACCATCATTATCTTTAAGTGACTGCTTTCATTCCAGGTAATGAGAAAAAAAACAGAGTTGACTTATGACACTGATCTTCATGGCAACAGGTAAATTACATGTACAATTTTAAATAATGGATTATTTTTGATGCTAAGAATCTAACCAGTGTATTGAATGTTTTAACAGATTTTTTATCATTTGCGATAACTTAATTAAGGTAGTGTCCTCATGCTACACTGAGCAACAACCTCCCCCATTAATGTCTTTTTGTTGCGCATTGCGTCATTCATGTTACCATACATTTATCTGAGCCTAAACCAAGAATGCACACTATTAAGAGATTAGCTAGATTATCTTATCCATAAAAATTTACATAAAACAATAATGGAAGTAATTAAAAAACTATAAAAACTGTAATATGATTTATGTCTTTAATGTTATTATTATTATTGTTTATTTCATTTCAGGTCCTTTGAATAATCAGACACATCTTGATATAGACACTGGTGCAGGGATTGCTCACAAAACCAAAAATCAGAATGTTGAGCAAAAGGCCTGTAACTCAACAACTGATTCCAATAACAGAACAGCACAGGCAGAAGGAAGAGACAGACTAGAAGATTCACAAAGTGGAAAACCTGCTACCTCAACGTCAAAGCATACAGGTGTTTTGATGTGTGGAAATGCACCCCACCACCATATCAAATATGTCCGCCGACCTCCAATAGAGGAAATGAATGAGCTCAAACCACTGAAACCAACTTGGAATCCGGAACATAAATTTAACAATATACAAGCAAGCGATGATATGGATTTTTTTAATCTTTTGCCTTTTTGTTAAAAGTATAATATTGGGATCAGACAAAATGTCATGCAGGAGGAAGAGTCAACCCTTTAGAAACTATTTGAAGAATTCATTATCACTAGCTGTGCCTTATAAAAGCTGAGAGTAAAATTGTCCTCAAGAACAAGTCAAAATTATAAATAAAGATGATGATAAAATACTTCAATTTGTTTTTTATCTATAAATTGCTTTATCATAGCCATTAAATTCAGGATGAATTAGATTCAGGATCAACAGATTCAGGATGTGTACACCAATTACCTTAGTAGAAGTGGTAATAAATAAATAATAATAATAATAATTATTATTATTATGATAATTATAAATAAATAATAAAAACTAGATGGTGCCCATGGGTAGCCATGTTATGTCCCTGCACTTCTCAACATATTAAGAGCAGCTCACCATCCCATGAATATTTATAATGAGCATCAAATATTGAATAATTTAATATGGAGTATTATATCTTCATCCCAACTCTCTCAATTAATTAATTGCAGGAGTTCACAGAAAACACAAAGTGGAAAGAAATATAACATCAGCCAACCCCTGTTGCACTAAAATTCCACCATGCTATCCCTTACGAAAATTTCCTATAGGATCCTATAGGATTCCTATAGGATCCTATAGGATCCTATAGGAAATCTTATAGGATCCTATAGGGCACATTTCCTATAGGATTTCCTATAGGATCCTATAGGAAATTGTTGTAAGTTAAAATCTTGAGAAAAATGCATATTTTATAAACATATATCATTCTAAACAATAGATATTTGATATAGGTCCATTTTATCAGTTGAATTGTCAATTATATATCACTATTAAAGCAAAAATGCTTTTTATTGTTTATAATGCACAATCTTATAGTCTTCTATAGGATTCTATAGAAATTCTGTAATTTTTTTTTTAAAGAATTTTTGAAAAAAATTGATCATTTTAAAGTAATCTTTTATGGAGAAATATTTTATCATTCGGAATGTTTTTGTACCAAATCACTAAAGCTGATTTTTTTTTTTATTTATGTTCAGACCATTACAAAAATTCCTATAGGATCCTATAGGAT